CTTCAGAGTGACCTAGACACGGTATATCAGTAGTTCATACAAAATTCCCTGCAACTCAATGTGAGTAAATGCAAGGTGATCTCCATACGACACCAGAGACATCACGGTTACAGGCTCGAAAAGCATGGGCTGTAGCTAGCTGCCACCGAAGGTGATTTTGACGTACTGCTTCAGGATGATCTGGGTTGTTCCAGGCGATTCGCGATAGCCTCCAAAACTGGTAACCAACATGTGGGCCTGTTACGACGGGCGTTCGGACAAATAGATCGCTCTATTTTCCGGCAGGTGCTTAGTGCATATGTTCGTCCTCATGTCGAATATGCAATCCAAGCCTGGCACCTATGGCTAAAACACGACTTTAGTGCACTGGAGCAGCCCCAATGTCGAGCATCAAAGTACGCTATTGAAATGCACCAGGTTACACACGAGGAGAGGCCGGAGCGATTGGGGGTATTCCGCGGACGTTACCACGGCTTACTAAGGGTGTTGGTACTGGTGCACTTAATTCTGCACGATCCACTCTATATGTGCCTCTCTTTACTGCAACTTAGTAGTGATACCAACTAGAGAAGTCACTCAGTAAAACTGGCAGAACAGTACAGCTGCCTTGATTGCCGCTGGAATTTCTTTTCCGTCGCGTGTGTCACCTGTGGAATGATCTTCCAGGATCGGCCATTTCTGCACCATCACTATCAATAGTAACAAAAAGGATTGGATACTCACTTACTCACGTACACTTTGTTACCTAGTAAGGCACCTCCGTCCCACTCCTGGAATATACTTTGCATTTTGCTGTTATATGTTTGTGCTGTGAAACTACACGGATCGCAGGACTACTGCCAAACAAATGACAAGTCACTGTTTTAAACGTAAATAACCCACTGCTTTTCTATTTTTCGATAACCCTGCAAAACCACCCAACGGGACATGTAAATCATGTCTTCTTAACCCGTATACATTCACCGTTCATTATTCAAGTGAGCAAGGGTGGCTTTAGAGTGGACCGTGGCGCCTTTTGACATTACTTGTCAAATCCATGCATACTAAGGCACTTCCAGGCTCACGGAACACGAGTGTTTACACAGACATCCAAAGCAGCTCGCCAATACCACGTTACAAGGCAGCCAACCCGGGAGTCGGAAGCGTATCAAGTTGGACCAGTGTGTTGAGACCACATGTAGCATTTCCACCATTCATAGTATGCAGTCTTCCTCCCTTGTCGCTAGGCAGGTAGGTAAAATTGTCGGGGTGCATGTGTTAGTTTCTCTTACCTTGGGTTTACTGAATAGTGTATCGCCACGATCCTTTCGCACTCCACGACCGTAAAATGATCACGAGAGATGGGCCAGGCCAAAAAGTTGCATGTCAGAAAACTGCTGCAATTAAATGGGTTAGAGCAGTGATAGATAGTTGCTGCCAGGTCAGAGTCAACTCTCAACATAGGAGACGTTGAACAACGTAAGAGAATTGGAAGCGATAAAAGTCAGAAGCAATTACTCTTGTTTGTGGGAGTGCTATTGGCGGAAATGGGCCCCTTAGATAACATCCATTACGAACGACGTAAGTCGGTCCATCAAATGGTACACATGATAGGTTTATACAATTGTTACGAAATAAGCCATCGCGAAATGAACGCCAGTAACTGCAAATTGCCACAAAACTGGTAAGTAGAGTAGACATCATCCTACAATCAGAATCATGAATTGTGATTTAGTTACCGTAAACATATGTAGCTTAGCCTATTCCCCAGCAAGTTAACAATCGATGCGCTTAGAAGGGTTATATGTGTGGGCCAATACATTTTGCTTAATTGATATATCCCATAATTTTCTCTAGAATTATAAACTAGATGGGCCAGGTTAACTGAGAGATTCATTGCATGTTCCAAATTGCTGTTGTCATAACAACAGCAATGCAGGAACTACGGAACCCACATTGCTGTATGGCAATGCCACTTGGTTTATTGCAAATTGAGGCTTCATTGTTAGGTTGTCACTTCTTGCGCCCATCGTGGGCCCAATCTGTTCCACGTGATTCACGAATAATCTCACGACGGCGCCATAATTAACAGCTACAGTTTTCGTCGTCGGTCCGTCACGTGACTGGGATATTTTCACGCCTCCAACCATAGAGGTCATGTGCATTACCCAATTAGATGGTGGTGTCCGACACGTGGAAAACACGACCTTAGACATTAGACCCTGCATTTAGGCTAATGAGAGCACTGTGTTGAAGAAGCCGTCAGGTGCTTCGACACACAACCACATTCATCATCAAAATGTCGAACTTGTCCCATAAGTGGGAGTGTGAATGTACTTGGTCATTAATCAGACAGGAACATCTTCCTCATGACTGCTAGATTTCGTCTGCCACGTACACGCATTCACATGCACATTCCCAACACCGGTCGGCACAGAATACTGTTGCATCTGCAACCCACGAACCCGATTGTGACAATTACCGTTACCAACTTTGCAACCAGGTAAATAGAAAACTGCAGGAGGTTCAGCGACTTCATATGGTAGCGGGAACGATAAAACTTCCAATTGTAATTGGACACGTGAAGCGTTGCACACTCGAACAACTTTACCACCTCCGGTGTCCCACTGGTGCAGAATTGCGATGCCGGTCATAGAGTGCGGTATTTCAAGTGTAGAACGTTGAACAATCGCACGCTTCAGACTGAATCGCAGTTCTGATGTGGATTACCGGTTGGAATCCATTCCTACAACCAGTCTGTCAAAATCACACATGTAAGCACACACCTATCTGCTTCGCCTTAAGCAAAACTCGCCCGTTAGTCAAAGTACTGATAAATGGATAGGATATAATCCTCCATTCATTTTGTGAAATTCCCACTGAGCACCCAACCCCAACAGTGATCGCAGTCGATATTATTAGATAACAAGGTACAGTGCACGACTACTTATCTTCCTAGTGCCTCCTCTCCTTATCCTGAGACAGCTTTGTTCCTTGGCGAAACGAGTACCGAAAAGTGAAAAAACAACCATCCGTTTACTTCACCGTGAGCGAATTTGGACATAAGTAATTTGAATGAAGCAGTGGATTAGAGTGCAATATCTCCGGCTGTCAACTTGATAACTTCTTAGATAACATGCACTTTGCATGCCATGAGTCAGCGAATGGAATGTGTTTGAAGAGAAGATTAACCAATGCACCAGTTTGGTATCCTAATTCAGTTGCGATACCTTCACAACACTGGACCAAAATGGTGCGATCATCCTCCTCAACATCATCATTAGCAGCAGCAGCAGCAGCAGCAGCAGCAGCAGCAGCAGCAGCAGCAGCAGCAGCAGCAGCAGCAGCAGCAGCAGCAGCAGCAGCAGCAGCAGTAATAAACTTCGGATATCCATCGAACGTTTCTTATAAATTTTTAGCCCTGCACCTCTCAATTCAAGTACTGCCACCAGCTAATAAAATTTTCACCACCTACTCTAAGTTGCTGTCCAGATATATTACATGTCCCAGCCTTTGTCTTTATTGTGCTGTTGGAACACAAACACATACTTTTCAGAAAGCAGAGGAAAGTGTTGTTTGAAATACACCTTTTGATCGAGCTCCGACATCGTCACATTCTGACAGCCATTGTAAATGCAGCAAAGCACTGGACAGTCGTTTCCTTCTATTGTAGCTCGTCAACAGTGTAGCTGTGGAATTAGAACCTTCAGTCATTCTGTCAGCACTTTGGATTAAGATCCTTAAGTAAATGATTGCAGGTACACACATTCTCCAGTACCACGCACGACTCCATTGCTGATCTGGCATTGTTTGTTAACATGATAAGCTACATTGGGCTGCTACTGTTTCCCTTAAATTGGTGAAAGCTGGAAGTTGAACCGAATTTTTCAGTTATGATCCAGTCATATCCAGTAAACGTGCTTTAGTATCTCAGATATTTGACGTGAAATCTCTCTTTATTCATTGGGCACTAAAAGTTCGCATGAGTACTCGTTTGCTTTTAAACTCACACCCAGTGAGCTTTGTCAAGCGCTTGATTTTACCAGTCCCGGGCAATGGTGATTGGTTGGCGGCAGCCGGTTCCGCATTTGGTTGTCACTGTGAGCTCAACAGGGACAGCGAGAGGACGCCCGCGCCTACAGAAGGATCATGGGTTGCTTGCGCTACACCACCCACAGCTCCATGCACACACTCCCTATCCGGTGTAAACCAGAAGGAATAAGACCGGGAGTCATGTGGATGGGAGCCACGTTGCGTCAACGGAGCCGGTCCAAACTTTTTCACAGGCAAACACAAGCACGCTATCTTTGGGGAATCAAGCGCACACAATGGTACTTAGAGTGAATGGTATTCACATCTTGCTTTTGAGATGTCAGATCCCTCATGTGCACCCTTGACAACACAGTAGTTTGAACGGTCTCGAGTGGCTAACGCTTACTGAAAACGAAGTGGCCTACGTTTTACGCGCAGCTGCAGACTAGAATCCTCAGCATTTTGTTAATGCAAAGAACGACTCGAAACCTTGTCCCATCTTTTCGCACGAAATATTTATGGAGACTGAAATTAATAGGTCAGTCCAGTCTGGTGAATCCTTGCTCTGGAAGCTACACTGTCAGCTATATGGCAGTGGCGCGCAACTTCGTGAGCCCTGAGCCACAGTACATCACGATTTTGCGATCTAGTCACGTCAATCCGCGGTATCCGTTTAATCGAACAATCAAGTAATCTAGAAGTGGTTCGAGACGGCGAATTATGTTATATACTTTTAAAACTGAATGAGGATTGATTCACACTGGGGGGTTTTCCTCCAATGGTGTGACTTCTGGTAGTCAACTGTCTAATCCCGGGATAACTCCAATGACTGACATGAGCAAACCGCATCAGCAGCCTTCTGATCCCACCGAGTATTGACTTAGTGCATTCTATCAATGCGCTGAGTTGTTTTTGAGGATAACTTGTAAGGTTATCGGTGCCGACTGACAATTCAATGGCGAATCAAGATGACTACTTCTCTTTTTCAGGCGTTTAAGAAGCTGGAGGCAAAATACTCCGATGGTCCCATCCTGCCGGGATTGAATTTCACTTCGGATCAGTTGTTCTTTCTGTCATTTGCCCAGGTAAGCTACTGTAGTCGATTTCATCGTTTCCTTCGTGTTCTCAGAAGTATTATGGAAAGATTTCCACACAGTATACTAGCAAACGTATTAATTTTAACTTCATGGTTCACCGCTGAGTTATAGAACACTAAGCTCTCTTAGAAATGTGTTCGGTGTAGGCTAATTTTAGAGTATATGGTAATTGGCCACTCTGAAACAGAAATGGTGTCTTTTCGAATTGGTTTCTTTAATAGAAACTACCCTTTACATAAAGTGTTGTTATATCGTGTCCTCTGAGTACCGAACCCACTGGCGCCTCTCGTCTTTCCATGGATTTGTTAGACGGTTACTTCCGAAACTGAGAATCTTAGATGAGATATACTAATTAGCAGTCGAAGCCGGAGCTAAGTAAGCGAGTGCGGTCACAGCGACTGGGCATTCACTGTTGAGTTTTTAGGGAATGCATAGTGCTTTAGACTTAAGACATATCTTTGCACGCTTCACATTGCACCTGATATTAAGCATCCACCACTTCAAGCGCCGGAACTGAACGAAAAATAATTGAATTCAAATCGTTGTGAAAAGCGATAGAGATGGAACATGATAACCAGTTGATAATCACGGAATATGCATTCTGGTTCCTGACTTCCGCTATCTCCTTTGCAACATTCTAAACGACATAGATAATGGTCTGGTGTATGGGCTTAGCCATGAAAAATATGAGAATTTTCTCCAAATTTCTGTCATCTTTTATATGTATCCTGTCGGCGACAGTTCCCTATTTTATAAAGAGAAATGAAAATAGTGCCAGCAGAAAGCCTGATGGACCGGAGGTGATATCAGTACGAGAATGATCTCCGGGCTACTTGTTAAACCAAACCGGGCAACGTTGTCATGTTTGATATCATCTGAAAGCAGGAACGGCCAGCAACCTGCTTCTGAGGGAATCTGATTGTCATTCAGTCAGTACAACTGGTATCTAAAGCCTGTATTAGGTATCACAGCACTCACCTGTGGAATAAAAACCGCGACATTGGTGCTAAAGTCCTCACTGACAGTTTCATATTTAAATAATATGCTGAAGGTAGTTCCTTATCCAATGGTCCACAGAAATCCAAACGAAGTTGCAGCGATTATGTTGGTACGGGGTTAATGTGAAACGCACAGTGTACCTTGAAGTTTATGATACGACTTGCTTCACATCGCTAATTTTGGCAGAGAAGTGCAAGGCAACTTCCTAGTTATTAGTAGATTTAACACTCTGGTAGCACCGCATGGTCACTCGAAGTAATTTTACAGAGCTTATCACAGGCTATTAACTAGCCACCCACTGGTCGTTTCAGCTGCTTTGAATTTGTAAGCTAAATTTGAGTCCCACTGTACTCTTACACTGCATTTGTCCTACATTGTGGTTAATAAGTAAGAATTTATGAACAGATGTAAGAACTTCCCTTTAATAATTAGGGTTCCGCGATGGAAAAAGGCACAGGCAATCGGCTGTGGGTAACGCGTACCCACAGCTTGATTATTGGACTCTCTGTCCATCTTTATATATGTAGTAAGTGGTAGCAGATATTTCCTCTCTAGGTAAAAACTGAAAGCTTCGTAACATTGGCCATCTTAGCCACTAGGCGCACTGTGTTACGCCCTCTTGTCACTGCCACTGTCCAACCTGTTGAATGTTTATTGCTTGTTGGAACCGATAGCTCTGTCGTGAGTTTGCTGGAGCGGCTCAATTTACCGATTTCATCTCACCCATATGTTATAACCATCTCATGCGGGGCACTTTTGAAACGTTATTTTCCCTTTATAGCTGTGGTGCGTGAAACACCTTCCAAGGTCAGTACTAAACACCGTTCTATTTGACGTTCACACGGTGGATCAGTACAGGTGAGTGTATAGTGATTTAAAAATGCTTAACAAGCTCGGATGGTTTTAACTGGGAGTATGATCTTTGACTTGCCCCATTCAGCAAATCAGTACACAGAAGCGGAAGCTTAGTCCACAAAAAGTTGTCACCTGAATCTTTCCTAAAATGGTTTATTTAATTGTGTGTGTAAGTAAATTCCGAAATTGTCCTCGGTATTATGCCATTTCAAGAGTTTTTGGAACTTGGTAAATGACGGTAATACATGGAAAGAGTAAACTAAAACAGATTGCCCACTAATAGAACAAATTCACAAGAGACAGGCGTGAACCATTCAGCTCCACTGAGTCAATTAGTTATTGCCACATGCAGTGATTCTAGTTATCCACCACGACGTGTGCATCATAATGTCAGAGATTGAGGCAAAGTAAAAATGGAACGGTTTTGTATGAGGTTGCAAAATAGTTGGTCACTGCAACGCCAAAATCACTGAGTGGACGCGATCGGAAGTGTGCCAATATCTACCATACTTACCAGAAGCAGAAAAAGTCCTCGATCTAATCCGTGAGTAAACTTCACACTGAGCAAACTTGGCTGTCAGACCATTTGCTTCTGGCGTTCACCACTTTATCCCATCCTGACATCAAGCAATTGCCTCACCAGACAGTTCACATAAATATGTACGGAGTTCTAGTTTTGACAACTAATGGCGTTCTTTACTAAGTTATTCCACAGAGATCTGGCGCTCATACCAAAAGCACGCACGAATTTTGTCATTTTCCTCACCTGAATTTTGTCGAACAGAGATGGCAGATCCATAGGACATATTATTCGATTGGCAGTGTTTATTCTTTGCACATATTTGCTCCGTATTTCAAGGAACTACTTCCTTACTCTTCAGAGTCATTGGAACTTTGACCAACTCCGAGGATTTTGCGCGCGTGTTTAAGTGCCCAGTAGGATCATACATGAATCCTGAGAAGAAGTGTAAAGTATGGTGAATGCGTTTTCGGAATGCACCCTTTTCATCACTCTGGGCATGTATACATATCGAGTGGTTATGTTCAATTCCTGCAGTCCAGTTCGTCGTGTCATCGGCGAACAAAGTGACCGTTTTTCAAGCCGAAGACGCCCGTTAACCGCCATCTGAACAAACTTATGTGAAACTCCCAGCTCGCCCACCTTCAACGCGTCATTAATCATCATCCAACTTAATATTGAGCACTGTGAAGATTTTTACCATGCGGTATCATCAGACATCCTTCGATCACATCAATTTCTCCATATTTCTCAGCTGCACTGCATTTTACTCGTTTTGATTTTACCACAACCATTTTAACTACACATTATTTGTGTGATCCAGACCATTTGTCCTCCCGACCTGTCAATCGCTCATCGAAATTCCTCACAATGTGGTTTCCCACTCAGTGTATTTTTATGCTGATCGTTGCAGTGGCTCATCCGGCCTGCTTGACCATGTGTAAGGCGGTGTCGCTTTATATGGTCTCCATACATTTGTAAATTTTTCCCCCACCCACAAATTGTTCGTATTGTGACTTTTTATTGATTGTATCCACGTTCGAACGAATTCATTCGCTACCACTGTGGTCTGCTCCCGTGTCTCCCGTGCCTGTATTCGTCGTCGTATCCATGTACAAAGTGAAACACGTGAGAACCATTATGGGATGACTGAAGCACTCGTTCAGTGAGTGCATTGCTACATGCAATCCCAGTGTTGAACATCATGTTATTTTCTGTAAATCGCGATCGGCTAACTCACTCTCATCGCGTATAGAACAGAAAAATGTTAAATCATGCCAATTCGGGTCCTTGTAAGCGCAGGTAACTGTGAATCACTTCAAAATAAGTCACGGTATGTCGCGATCTATTCCCACAACAAATGAGTCCCCGATGAACCGTTAATCGTTGTGACAGGCGTACACTCTGATCGAGTGGACTAGGGGTAGTGGCTTCGGTCGTAGTGAAGTCAACTACAAAACCGGTGGTGCATTCGTAAATTTAGAACGGGAAACATCTGACATTTACTTGCGAATACAACTTCTAGAAAGGAGTAGGTTGGCGTCCAAACAAGGGCTAGCAGGCCGCCCTAAGCAATGCAAGAAAGTGTGGGTTTAGGTTCCCTGACTTACTAAGGAATTTTCAGGTCAAATTTGCTCTTCAAATCTTTTCCTTTCACAAAACATCCCTATTATTTAATACTGTAGGCTAAAATCGAATGTCTCGTGGTTCGCGATATGGACGCAGGGAGTTTGAATCAGTTGGGTGTGGAAGTGCAGCAGAAGGCAATCACTGAAGCCACCTGGTTAGTTTGTTGCATGGCGATGGAGCCACAAGGTCAGTGGTGCAACAAGGGAACGATGGTATCATGACAGAAATATATCTAGCTTATTCCTTAAAATTCTTTCTACCATGCAGGCTCACCAGTGTTGGTTTCAACGCACCATTTCGTCATCCCTATTGGCTATTTGTAGTCGTTGTTTTTGCCTTCAGATCGCAGGAATACTTTGACACTATCACTCTCACCTTACGTCCTTTGTGTGCACTTGATTGGTTCCCCATTTGTTCCGTTCTTATTGGCTTTAATTGTCCGCTTGCTTTCTGCACTCTGGTTGGCTTTCATGTTTGTGCGTTATGCTATATAAGTAACTAGTTTCCCTATGTAAAAACCCTTGAATCTCTGTCTCTGGTCGTTCGTGTTCTCACTAACGTTAGTGGGTGGAAGCAGTCGCGGGGCTCCGACACAACACAAGGACAAGCAATACGTACCACAAATGCAAATCAACGAAAAGTACAACACATTTGACCTGCAGCTGTATTGTTCGCTCAGAGTCAAACAGTTCCAACTGAACTTGGTGTTGGGGCTATGTTTCAGAAAATAGTGTCAATTGTGGTTGGGGTCACTCAACAATTGGTACGCTGATTTGAGATCACTGCACAGCCTTTGGTTGTGTCCGCGAAATGTTTCCAGCAACTGCTAAGCGTGACTGCGTGGGGTCTTGATATATTTGTTGACCGTCGTGGTGCCTCTAACGCATCTAGGTCACGCTTTAACCAAGGTTTCCAAGTTTTGGATGGCGTACTCAAGGAAGTAAGAATTGGCAAGCCGAAGTGCTGGTTACCTCTTTTCACAGCTACCTATGAAAGTTTGAACAGTTAATGGTACTTTGAATGAGCCCACCAAGGTCGCGTTCCCGAGAAGTGGTCTACAATTAGTGTAACCCAACCCAATACATATCCTCATGTCTCTGGCATAATTGAACAGCACGACGTTTGTCAACATTGAATGGTAGGATATTTTGAACTGGTCAGTTCGAAATCCTGTTGTGATCGCACTGGAGCCCTTCGTGGTCTTCCGGCCCTCTGATCGCTCACCATATCTTAATGAACAAGGCCTTACCACTGAGTATTGTAGTACATCGCACTTCACCTCATTTGCTCAACAGGAATGCTCGGAATCTCACTTTCAACCGACGAGCATATAGAAAATTGCTATAGTTCCGAGGCTTGTGAAGGAGAATTCGATGATTTAATTCATTGGACGCCAAATTTCATTCCCGGCTGGCGAGCCGGATTGGATATCTACACAAAACTAGCAGGCCAAGCCAGAAGCTTTGAACAAAATACGGATAAGCGGATTTCAGCATCTCACGTTAAAATAGGTTAGTGGCGTGCAATGTACAAATAAACAAATCAATCTGATAAAGCTTTCATCCTAATAGTTCACAAGCTACATAGCAGAGCCTAGTCCGGAAAAGCGCCAGATGCGTTTCGCCCTATTGGGGCTCGCCAGTGGGGCGCATTCCCTCGGTCCTCCAAGGAGGACCGAACCCATGACCGCTAGAGGCAGATGTCAACTAGCCAGCAGCTTAAGCCGCTGAGCCATGGGGGACGTTACCTGGGCTGCATAATTTGCGAACTAACTGGGACATAACACCACCTATCTATCACTGTCAGTGACAGTGGTTAGCCTGCAAGGTGATGTCCTCTCACTGGGCACTATATCTATAGCGTTTGAAACTAGGACAGGCTTTTATTTTACACTACTCATGAGTAGCAGGATTTTAGTTATAAATCTGATTTGTCAACGTAGAAGAATTATCAACGGCACACTCAGACATACAGTTACTTACTAGATGTGACGAAGTTTCTACTTATACCATTCAACTCCCCCTACTACCCTACTTAAACGTTTATTGGACACATCCTAATAGCACAAAGAAAACAGCAAAATGATTAATGAGATTTATGAAACTGTAGGCTGAATTTCAAAATAGCATCAGTATGCGCTGGAATGGCTGTATACATACAAGAGAATTGCTTTCAAACGTTCTTCAGTTAGTTTCGTTGGACGAGTTGATTTCACATACTTTGTTTGGGAGAATGTTTGCTCACATATATAAGTTGTTTCAAACACTGGTGTCATCCCAGCGGCAAATTTCTTCAATCCCGGCAATTTAGCCTCAGGTAAGCAGCGGTGATATCAAACGAGGTACTTTCCCTTGTGTTTCTGTCTCAACAAGTCAGCTGCCAGTAAATCAATTCACTCCACCTGTAGTTAAACTGGAACAGCACGAATTCTGAAACAGAAGAACATTGCTCTAGTTTATGTCAGGATTTGAAAGTCACTTAAAATGTTTCTTCAGGTCACAATTAACCTTGCTCGAGAAAGCAAGAGAGACAGCTTCGGTGATAGTAACGCTACACTTTTCGAAAAAGTAAACATAAGCAGTTGTGAATAGAACAGTTGTGACTAAAAACAGTTGTGAATAAAACAATGAATACTTTCTCTAAAATCCGTTGATGCTTCTGTGGAAATCATAGGTAAGATCCTTCTTTCATTCGTCTGGGATGTGATACCAACCATGAATATCAACTTTTACAGCCAGGTAGGTTCCAATCGCTGTGGGTCAGCTGTATCGCTTTCATTGAGGAAGGCAAGCATTTTGTTTCAAAGCTTGTAAAAAGGAAACAGTAATTTAAGGCAACTGAGCCACCTCACTGGTGTAATAAGGTGCATCACACAATTCAGAATCAATATCTTCCGGAAAAGAGTGGAGGCCACAGTGATTGAGAGCATGTTCCAGAATGAAGTTAACAATTGAAACGACCGGTTCCAGTATACAAGTAACTTCCACCTTTTCCCCATTTAGTATGTGTTGATATAGGACGCAGCGTATGAACACAGCGACCCGGATGTGCAAATGTTTCAAGCGAGTCCTGGTCTGCCCTACCAGAACTTTTTTCAATCTAACCATATTTCTCCCTCCATCACTTGTCATACCTCGATGTCGATTCCACGGAAGGTTATAGTCTTAGAAATTTCTACACAGTTCCACAAAAATGTCATTTCCATTTCTCGTGCCATGGATGCTGCCGACCGATACCAGCTCCTTCGTTATTTGAAACTCTGAACCGACATCACGTATGAACACGAGAAATTATGACATAGTCCAGAGAGCCATAAACTCATCCAGCGCCAGAGGATAGCGCAAAAGGTTTTCAGATTTCTCCTTTATCTACAACACTGGGTTCTGTGCAATTTCTTTTGTTTTCCACACAGCCGAACTAGCCGTAAAGCTTACAAGTACAACCAAATGGGCCTTTGTAGAAAACAAATCATTTACAGCTTCCATTGGACACTCTTCTTAAGTTGCCACCAGTAAACAGTATTTCTCTTATCTTTTTTGCATAATTTTTTTAAATTTTACAAAGGACAGGTTCATTTTCAGATAACGCTCTCATGAACAGAATTCTTTGCGTTTCTAAACCACGTTTCACGGACTCACAGCTAGCCGAGCGCTGCTTCCCCGAAAAGTTTGATTACGCTGATAGGTGTGTAGTTTCATAATTACTCCAAAGGTTGCACACTTTCAAAACGGAAGTATGTCGACGGTCGATATTTTCCACGAAGTAGTATTGTACCCCAGATTATTTGAAGAAAACACGACATTCGGTGTTCATCTTTTTCTTCTTAGTAGCCATAAGGAGCGTTAAAGTAATCAGAAGCTAAAAATGAGAAAGTCATTGTATTGGAGACATAGTTCACATCCTACTGGAACACAAGAAAGACAAGTAGTTAAGGGTCTCTGGCAAGGCTACGTCTCAAGGAAGATTCAAGTGAAATTTATATCATACAGTTTATAGGTGAATTTGGTAACATATCACATAACGAGTGTTGCAACTAGATGCATGGGGCCGGCCCAAATAAACATCTTTCAGTAGGATTCAAATTCTTGGAAGATGCTTGGAACCGATCGAGTAGTCATGAGTTCAGAGAGGTTTGGAAACAATCGGTTTGGTATAGTAGTTTGGTAACGTTTCGCCTTTAACATAAAGGCTTCGTCGGACCAGGTGAATCCGTGTGCAATTGGTGTGGGATTTTATAGCGAACAGGGGCGATAACCGCGTTACCCGAGTCTTGAGCCATGAGTCATTACAGGAACAGTTCGGGGTGTCACCTCAGGTGGTTCGATCACAGTGGGAGTAGTCCAGGTGTTCCTTTGTGCGTCATGACATTGACGGATAAGCCCATAGTGTTGACAATGGGAGTCGGTTTGCACTTTCCAATCTGATACACGCATCGATGCTCGTCAA